AGATTTTAGTTTTTCTGATTTGTTAATTAAAACATTTAAAAGAATATTACAAATTATTATATTTAAGATGACAGTAATGAAAATTTCATTAACATACGCATGATCTTTTCATGTTTTTAATAATATGTAACCTCATTTGTTTGTGTTTGTGACGCGCTGGTGTCACCTTGTAATGGAAGGTGCGCGCGCCAAGGCGGCATGTAATGACGACGATTCTCTTGGTTTGAGTAATTAACGTTTATTTTAACTAAAGTCACAGAAATGTTCGAAGCGGGCTATAGGCGCAAATTTCATGACAGCAATTGATGCACGCGGTTAACTACGTGCACCGATAATCCACACTCGGAGCAACGTCCCGTAATTGATCTCAACTCAAACGGAATGTACAGGGCGCGCCGTGACGAGACCGAAGAGGTTCGTCAGCTACTTAGATGATTTTCGCGCACTTAATAACTTTTACCGCCTGCCTATCTCGCTAATCTTATGCGAAGCGGCAACGGAGATGCGCGATGCGGGAATTCGGCTTGGTTCGCTCCGGTTAAGACTCAGACTTGCAGTCGAGAAATGTGAAAGATAGTATTGATCCGTATTGATGTGGATCGAGAAGCGAACTGATCTTTTGCACGCGAAACGTATGCGCGAAAGTCAGTTTTTCGGGTGTCGCGCACGGGGGCCGCGTGCTATATGAGAAAGACAGCGTGATTAGAATAAGAGCGAGATATATACGCGTTTTGGCGATGAGCTATTGACGGTCGTCGCGGAGAATATTTGAAAGTAACGATAATTCCGGAACATACCGCCCGCCTCGAATGTTAACATTCGAAATGATTTGCATTAAAGCACGCAGGATACAATCAGGGTAGAATAACGAAAAAGGTTTTACATAAAAAATACAAAAATCGTGACGCAATACAATTAAACTTAAAGTTCCCGATACCGGTAACATCAGATATTTCACACGGAAACTCTGCCCGCCGTGACGGAATCTTTTGATTCTTCGCTATTGATGGTAACAGGTAGAAAACAGAGTTTCGCAATCGGTCGCTTGTATACGGAATGACTTGTCTTTATCGTTACGACGCGAGTTAGATTGTCATCGCCTGGATGACACGCCGTAATTCGGCCAAGTTCCCATTGACTCGGTGGAGCCAGAGGGTTACGCACTAGGACGATTTGACCAACTTTGGCCAATCGCTGGACAACGCGCCATTTTGGATGTTGTTGAAGAGTATGCAAGTAATCACCGGACCAAGACCTCCAAAAACCTTCGGTCATTTGTTGAACCATTTGCCAACGCGAAAGTCGGTTTTCGCTTAAGTCAAGCACGCTCGGTTCGGCGGGAGCGATAAGAGGGGTTCCGATCAAAAAATGACCGGGAGTTAGAGCGTGATAATCGTCAAGATTATCGGAAACGGGCGCGATCGGACGTGAATTAAGGCACGCTTCAATTCGACATAGGAGCGTAGACATCTCCTCGAAAGTTAGCGTGTGGAGGCCGATGCATCGTTTTAAATGATGCTTAACACTTTTAACGCCGGCTTCCCACAGACCACCGAAGTGCGGCGAAGCGGGAGGTAGGAAGTGCCACGCAGTTCCGTCGGAAGCGAGTCGGCTGCGGAAATTAGGATTGCGTATGGCAGCGGCATGTGCGCTCGAAAGTTCGCGATCGAAATGTGGTTCCTTTGTCCGAATACATGGACGTCGGTAATCCTCGCCGAGAAACGAAGCGTTGATACGCTGCGATAAAAGTAGAAGAGGTATAATCGCTTACAAGCTCTAAATGCAGAGCTTTAGTTGTGAGGCATACGAATAACGCGATATACGCCTTTTGCGACTTATGACCTCGACCGGGCGCCGTGCGGACAGCGATCGGACCTGCATAATCGACGCCGGTATGAATAAAGGCGCGAACGGTGCGGTTGACTCTCACAGCCGGGAGGTCACCCATGAGTTCGACGGGCACGGCGGCGCGTTCACGCGTACATTGTAGGCATTTGTAAAGAACGGATCGAACGGTGGCGCGAGCTCGGAGAATCCAAAATTCGTTTCCCAATGACGCGAGCGTTAATTGCGAACCGGCATGCAACGTTCTCAGATGATGATGCTGGATAATGAGTACCAACAGCGGATGCGCGTGTAATACGATTGGATTCTTCGTTGCTCCTGGGAGGTAAGCTCGACGGAGTCTTCCTCGAATTCGAATGAGTCCGTCCTCGTCCATATAAGGATTGAGAATAGATAGCGGGCTGCTTTTCGACACCGCGCGTTTTTGATTCAGAGCAACGATTTCGTTAGAAAATAAGTCTGACTGCATAATTTTGAGCCAGTAACGTTTGGCGGTCTGAATTTCTTCGGAGATCAAAATCGCGGTATCCGATTGCGGGTTTTTTGTGCGTCGAACTCGATTTAGACATCGGTATAGGTAAGCGGTAATTCGTAGTAATTTTGGCCACGACGAATAACGCGACGCGAGATCCCAATCGGGCGTCGTATGCGATGCACATCCCGGAGGCTCCGGGCGTTGTTCGAGAGGAATCTCGGCGGGTAACAACGGGCACGAGTTCGGCCAGGATTCGGGAGGGTGGTGTAGCCATGGAGGGCCTGACCACCATAAGGCATGCGTTTCGAGACAATTGGGAGCGAGGCCGCGCGAGGCGCAGTCCGCGGGATTGGTGAGCGTGGGAACATGACGCCAAGAAACTCCAGGGAGGAGTGACTGCACAGCCGAAACTCGATTGGCGACAAAGGTTTTCCATCGGGCAGGTGATTAACTCAGCCATGCGAGTGTGATGGTAGCGTCCGTCCAGCAGTGGCACTCGAGCTCGGGGAGTTGAAGCGCTGAGCGTGCGAAATGCATTAAATGCGCGAGAAGCACAGCGGCGGATAATTCCAAGCGCGGGACGCTCATCGTTTTAAGCGGGGCCACTTTCGATTTGGCGACGAGAAGCGAGACAGTAATTGAGCCGTCGACATTGACGGTACGAAGATACACTGCAGCCGCGAAAGCTGCAGTCGAAGCGTCGGAAAATCCATGAAGGGCGCACTTTAGCGTGTGAGATCCGTAAGTCGTCCAGCGAGGAATGCTAATGTCGTTGAGACACGGAAGTCGGTTATGATAGTCTAACCAGTAATCGAAATGTTGGCTGGGAATTTCGTCATCCCAATAGCATTTAAGTGACCACAATCGCTGCATAAAAACTTTTGCGGTAATAATGACGGGAGTCGCCCATCCTAAAGGATCGAAAAACTTCGCAATAGTCGAAAGAATGGCTCGTTTGGTTCGGCCGGGTGAAGCCGGCACGGTAACGCGGAATTGAAAAATGTCTAGCTTCGGATTCCAGAGGATTCCTAAGACTTTGAGGTGGTCGTCGTCTTGAAGAACCTTGTGAGTAACTAATCCGTGATCCGCGGGATCGAGATCAGACAATAAAGCGGAGGCGTTGCTCGCCCATTTTCGAAGGCGAAAGCCTCCTTTCTTTAACAATTCGACTAATTGATCGCGGGTTTGACGAGCGAGAATCTGGTTTGCGCCGAAAGCGCAATCATCAACATACGTCTGATGACGTAAAACGGGAACAGCTAGTGGAAAGTCAGCACCGTCATCTTCGACGAGCTGATCTAAAACCCGAAGAGCTAAATATGGAGCGGCGGCAGGTGACGGTGAGAAGGCGGTAATCCGAGATTGGTTCGTCAGGAGTAGGTTGCCACACAATGCGCTGGTAGTCGGTATCTTGGGGGTTAACTAAGATTTGCCGATACATTTTGGCGATATCGGCGGTAAACACGTAACGATATTGGCGCCACTGCATTACGACCGTGGCCAAATCCCGTTGAAGCTTAGGGCCTATGAGCATATGGTCATTCAATGACGTTCCGTTTGACGTGCGGCACGACGCGTTGAAGACTACTCGTAAGCGGGTGGTCGTACTGCTATCGCGTAATACAGCGTGATGCGGAATGTAATATGCTTGCTCTGGTTTGATAATTTCTGTTGGTGGTCTTTTGGTCATACGACCGAGGGTTTCGTACTCGGCGAGAAATTCGCGGTACTCGGAAGCGATAATTGGGTTTCGATTTAAACGTTGTTCCAAGCGGTGAAAGCTTGAAACGGCAATAGAGCGCGATTCGCCTATCGAGATTGGTGGCCCGTTCTTAAACGGTAATCAAACGATATACCGTCCTTCCGGCGTACGAGAATGCGTGGCTTTGAAGTGCTCTTCGCACTGGTGATCCTCAGGGCTTCGAGCAGCTTTCTGAGGCACTTCCTCAATTTCCCAGAAGCGACGAAGATCGCAATCGAGAGTCTCGATGACGACTCCATGATGCGCAAGAGCGGAAACTGAGCCAGTATTCGGTGACGAGGCTATTGGCCCGGACAGAATCCAGCCTAGAGTGGTATTTTGCGCAATAGACTCATGTTCTGAGCCTTTTCGGACACCATCGAGAACTAGCATGCCGAACAGATCGGCACCAATAATGATGTCGATTAGATCCGAACTCATGGGGTCACGATCGGCAAGTTCGAGTCCCGCGACGTGTTTCCAATTGTGCGCGGTATCGACTCGATTCGGTAAATATTTCGTTAATGACCGAAGTATTAATGCGGTCATGATATAGGCAGGTTCGTCGCGACACGCCGGAGTAATCGTAATTTGGGCCGCGTGACGCACGATAGATCGCATTTCGCTAATGCCGGTAAGTGAGACGGAGCGATTAATTCTTGCAAGGCATAAGCGTTGAGCAAGCGATTCAGAAATGAACGTAGAGACGGATCCCTGATCAAGGAGCGCGCGAACGGTGACGAAACGTTTATGAGGCGAATAAACTCGCACGCGCGCTGTCGCGAGTAAGATTTTGGAGCTCGGTGCTACGGTTTTCGACAATAAATGTGTAGTTACGGCGGTGACGCTCTCGCTACTCGTGGGTGTGGACGTCGACGGTGACTTAGCGTCGACTGG